TCAGTGGTTGTTGTTGTTGTTTGCGATCCGGCCTCTGGTTCATGACAACATATAACCCAGTCAGTAACTTCAAATGTTATCAGCCCATCAAATGGCAGTTATTAGTGGTTATCATCCCCATAGGTTGCCTTCAGACTGTCCCTCCTGTACCTCCTAGTAGGTTTAAGGTATGTTCTTATGGCAGATAATATGCAGCTTTGACCTCGATCGCTGATAATATATAGCTTCAAGTGCATCTAAAACCGAAAGCTTTTTGTGTTAGCTTTATTTAAAACCTTTAGTTACAATTCACCTACTACTTGTAATCTGGACATCAAGGATTTACTTCAAATTAATTCCAGATTTAACTGTGACAAGGCTTTAATTTGGTATCTAAAAAGAACTCACTCAAGAGAGGATATGACCTAACCCTAACCCTAACCTTATAATTCTGATAACCCACAGAGCCCGCTAGTAGGTACAGGAGGGACAGTCTGAATGCAACCTATGGGGATGATAACAACTAATAATAATGGTCATTTAATGGGCTGATAACATTCTTTCAAAGCAGGTGACCCAGTGAGCATGCAGGGCGCATTAATGGCTGTTTTAAATAGACAAAGGTTTTGGAAAAGCAAGGCAGTCACTTAACACCAGTTTGATGTTTCAGAGCCCATATGATGCAGAATCATATCTTAAGTGATGCTAAATAGCAATGATCACGGTTTGTATTAACTGCCTTGCATGTTGGTTACATTTCATTTTTAATCTCATAGAAAGATATTATGCATATGTGACAAAACCCTCAGATGAGTTGTAGCTTTGTACCAAAAAGTTTTCTTAACTGACTTTAAAAACTTAAAAAGCTTTCACAGCTACTCTTCTTTATTATTAGTACTACTGGCTGTATCATAGAACTAATTAAAGACAATACTTTAAAGGACTGAAGGCCACCTTTCATGCTGCAGTTTAAAAATATAATCATCTTAGGCTAAGCAACACAAGAGTTGAAGCCATTTTGTTAACATCTTAGAATTATTGTTATATCAACCTCGTTATGAAGTGAGATCTCGCAAAATCATTTCGCTCTCTGAGTGTGTGATGTGGACGAGCAACACCTTTCAGAGGTGGTCCGTTTTCTTTACTCGCTTGTTCCTGTTCTCTTTTGATTGAGGTGTTTTTGATATTAACAGTATCTTTAAAGCAATAGATCCTGAGTAAATGCATCCATGAATCTCAGATAAAGCCAGGTCTTTATACGTAGTGTAGTGGAAAAGAAAATATTGTTTTTCAAGAAATGATCATAGTTTATCAAAGCAGTTCTTGCGTCTGCAGTTTTTCAGTTCACTGTGTCTGCACCTAGCATTAGCCTGTGCAAAATATTAAATTTATTCACTGATAAAGATGTCCCTTTGGTGGAAAAAAGCTGTCCAGAATGGTTAAAGCAGGAAGTTTCCAATCTAAAGAAGCCTGTGTTACATTTTAATTGTAGTATTTTAACTGTGCTGCTACAGCAACACAAACTATATCACACTTTTAGGCTTATTTCCAAGTGACGTGCACATTCACCCTCTGCCTGCTAAGCAGTTGGAGACACAGATATGACACTTAATATCTAGGAAGAGTCCCAACGGATGACTGAGGTCATGAGATTTGTCACCCACTGAACTCCAGAGATGCAACACAGACCTCCTCTTCCTCTTATCTATCCATCTTAATTAAAATAAAATGCTTTGTCTCACTGCAGGAGAATGTCTCATCATGACCTCTTTGAAAAGTGGCAGCTAAAGCTCAAACATTTTCATCCTCACAGTCTTCTGCCTTTTCTGACAATTGTATAAATGTACTTCGTTTTGCCCCAGTGGTGTCGCAAAAGCGCGTGTGATGGCGTACTTTGGTGAAGGGACGGGGCCCATCCACATGGACAACGTGAAGTGCACCGGCGAGGAGCGTTCGCTGGCGGACTGCATCAAACAGACCCCTGGAACACACAACTGCCGCCACAGTGAGGACGCCGGGGTCATCTGTGATTACGGCGCTGCGCAGCACAGCAAGAAAGAGGTCAAAGGTCAGTCAAATAGGCAGGACTGGGTTTAACTTAAACTGATAGTTCAGATATTTAAAAGTGGGATCCTGTGGAAAAATAAAGAACACATATCTCCTCCTTGAAAAAAACTCAGTGTGAACAATGTCATTTACATGTAATCATGAACATTTCTTTAAATATAAATAGCATTAGTTTGACATCACACAGTCATCTACATAAAATGTTATAAATATTTTTGTGCATTAACGGTTGCAACAGATCGCTGAAGCATTTCTACAACAGACGTCAGCACTTCCAGCAGGAATATTTTGTCAGAATAATTGTAGACCCGAATGGATGAAGGCATAAAGGTTGATAAAATAGCAATAATTACTGAAATAATAAAAGGATTGCAGATTCCCAATGCCACTCTGAGGTCCCACATCTCTGAAGCTCTCCCAGTCTGAGGCCCATTATTGTTCATGCACCAAGACTGACCTTTATCTTGTTTTTGTTTGTTTGTTTTATGCAAATTAAAGCAAAAAAACCCTGTTTATTAATGCAATTTCTGTACAAATTTATGTCATACCTATATATTATTTACTTCAAATACAAAATATTATTGCTATTTGTTAGATTCCTAGTGATGTATTAGTTAGGAAATTGAATATATTTACATAATTTATAATATAGAAGTAACATAATTATGTTGTTTAAGCATCAAACATTATTTTGTGCATTCTTTTCTGCACGTAATTAACCGGAGGAGGCCTGAAAGAGGTTGAGCTTCAGAGTGGTGCCTGCTGTCAAATATATGGAATTGATTTTAGATGACAGAAATCCCCTTTAGGCTTGGCCCTGCTTGGATAAGCCATTAGCTTGTCAATATGTCAATAATAAACATATTTCTCCAAGATGAGGTTGTTCAAAGAGCTATTTACAACAGGTAAGATATTCTTTGTTCATAACCTTTCCACATAAGATCTGATCTATCCCTTTAATCTTTCCCTGAAAGCAAACGGAGCGTCTCTGGTTTGCGTGAAGCGTTACAGAATCTTTGACGTGTTTAACAAATACTGTCATTCTGTCTCATGCAGTAAAGATTTCATGAGAATCGTCAGTAGGTGAGATGTTTAGCAGACAGTCTGGGCTTTTTCTGATTGTGTATAAACGGCTCATGTCCAGATGGTAAAATGTTGAACGGTATTATTGCTTCATTCTGTCCGTCACACATCAGAACAGAGTCAAACGATGCTCTCAGTTGCCTGCACATGGGCTTTACTGCCATTTCTCATATGGACATTTTTTCGTTTTAAACCAAAGAAGAGGGTGTTTTGGCTCACCATGCAGACTTTTGCTAGCTCATTCACTTTTACTATGAAACCACGTCTAATTTATTTGAATTTTGTTTAATTGCAGTCCCAGATGTCGCCGTGAACGTTGAATTTCCAACATCATTTCTTTGGACCTGTCTAAATATTTAATAGGTGTAACATCTGAGCTGAATGTATGGAATAACAATCATTACCCTTCCACACGCAGTCTCACACATTACACATCCGATGGTTCCTCTTCTGTCTCTGTCAGATCCTGTCAGCTCAATCTGTGGTCTGCGGCTCGTACACACTCGCCAGCGCCGAATCATAGGAGGAGAAAACTCTCTGAGGTAAGCTGGAGGGGACACATGGAAATAATAAGAGAACAAAGGACGCCCAGCAGAGACAGTGGCCGCATTTCAAGACTTTAAGTTGGAAATGAAAGACGACAAATTTAATGCAAAAGGAAAAAATGTTTCCACTTGTGTGAGCAAGACCTGAGTCCAATATAGGATATATAGAATAATGTTCATATTGAGGTTCTTTATTGTCATTCACATCACATGTGGTACATGAGGTGGAACGAAACTGTGTACTCAAGGACCCAGTTACACCCATAATAGCAAAAATATACAGTATAAAAAGAAACAGTATATAAGGATCTAAGATATATCCTAAACACAAATAATATAAAATAATATGGTATATTAAACAGAAACCTGAACATGAGCTATTGACATGAGCATATTGTGCTAAATACAAATATTTCCCTAATTAAAAAAAAACACATTTGCTAGTTATTATTTAAAATTAATTAAAAATTTATTAAATCGATTCTTTTTTTTGGGACAAATTAATGAAAGTAATCTCAGCTGATTGTTTCTGGTTGTTGAAGGTAGCAGCCCATGTCTGTGACATAATCTTCTTGCATGTTAGCTTTTAAACACCTTTGTCTAAGAATAAAAACAGAGAACGTCTTTGAAAATATGTGCACTTGTTGGTAAATCAGCTTTCTGAAGGCGTGTGACAAACTGTCAATTTTCTTGTTTAAAACATCACATTTAGGGTTTCCAAGGTCTTAAAATAATTAAATTAAACAAAGTCCAATAAATGAGTAAACAGTGTTGAGCTGTACAAATTAACCAGAATAAAGAAAAATAGATTGGTATAAAAATCTGATCTGACAAAGTAATAATCTTGATCAAATTTCCATACAGGTGGACTTGGGTAGCTCGGTGATCAGTGCCGTGGTCTTTTAATCCTGAAGTTGCAGATTCAAGCCCAGATTGCATCAGGAAGGGCATGTGGCGTAAAACATTTGTCAAATCTTTAGTTCGCTCGCTGTGACGTCAGAAGGGAGCAGCTGAAAGGAACTTACTTTTACTTAGATCAGCTTTGTTTGTTAACTGCAGCACTTTGTGACCACTGTGCGCCTTAATCTTTGCATGTTTGTCTAAAAAAAGTGAGTGAAACAAAAAGAGGCAGTTCAGCTCATTTATTGTCCACCATCACAGCAAAAAGGGGGAATAGGAATCCCCCGTCCATCTGTCCATATGTATGCCTGTCTGTACATGTTGTGAGATGATAACTTGAAAAATAAGTGGGTTATCAACTTTCACTTTGGTGTGTGGCTACATCTAGGCATAAGGAAGATTTGTTTTAATAACTGGGTTGCCATGTCAAAATCAAAGATGGCCACCATACATATACCTATATGTAAACTGGCCACCCTGATCATTTCAGGAAACAATGTTTTCTAGTTTTTTTATTGCTTAAAATTGTAGTTTCTTCAAATGACTGGGGTGACCTAAGATTATTCTATGATGGCCGATGCCACCATTGGTCACCCCCTGGCTCCACCACTGCACCAGGTGGTGGATAAAATGTCTCCCTCCACTCTCCAGGATCCGTCACTCCGTTCTGCCTCGGAAAAGAAAATAAAAAAATCCTCCCTCTGTTCTTCTCCACAGTGTAACTCCTACCTCCTGGAACATCTCACACCACACCAAAAACATTAAGGTTTACTTCATTCCCTGTTTAATTCCAGTCCAGAAAAACACTCGTTTCAAAAACTACAAACATTCACTATCCTTCAGTGATGAGGGACATCGGCAAACCACTTGTTGATGAAGTTTTTATTAAACGTGGGACTTCTCCAGTTCAGAGTAAGCTCAAGATTAAACTTCTCGTTGCCTCGTGTAAACTCAGCCTGCCACGCATGTTGTTTCCTGTTCTCCTTCCAAAGAACAAACAAAAAGTCCCATACAGATGTTGCAATAATGACAAACTATTTATGGTTCTATTTGTCTGAATCCTGATGCTCAAACCAGATGTGAAGGTTTTATACCACAAAAAGATTTGTTTCAGTTTTCCTTCGGTTTCGTCTGAGAGCGAGACGGTACAGGTTCTGTGTGTATTTGCGGTTGTTTGTGCAGCTGTATAACACGGTGTGTGTGTCCGTGTGCATGTTTATGCATGTTTATAGGGGTGGCTGGCCATGGCAGGCTGCCATTCGTCTGCGAGGATCTCGAGGAGACGGGAGGTTGGTGTGCGGTGCGACTCTGATCGACTCGTGCTGGGTCCTCACCTCGGCACACTGCTTCAAAAGGTCACCCCCCCACACACACACACATACACATACTTGTTGTATATGAGGCCTGAAGAGTTGTATTTCCTGCTGACAAAAGGCAAAAATGTATCTGTCTGTTAGCAAAATATCTCATCAAACAGTTATTATTTTTAAGGGAAACTTTCAGAAATTAGTCATTTCATGTACATCTGCAAGTGAGTTACTTCTGAAGTAAACCTGATTCAAGATGGCTGCCACAGCCAACTGATACTACTTCTCGGTCAGTTTCCCAAATATTGACCTAAACTTTAGTGAGGCAGTAGCTGATACTGATCCCCAACATATAATGTGAGCCTTAACAGATCGCACATGATCTTCATTTAAAATGTTAACAATAACTCTTTTTCTCTGAGAGTAAACTACCTCATGAACACATTTTAATCAAATGAAGCATTCATGTATCTCCACAACTAATTCCCTTTTATAGTTAATCTAATTTTAGGTGATTGGCACATACAACCCACAATAGAAAACACAAAAATGGCTGCAACTCTGTCAGATTTACAGATTTTCTTAAACTAAAACTTAGTGTAGTTCAAACTAAAACTCATTCACAACAAACTGCTGATTGTGCAAGATCTTCAGTTAAACTTCAGTTGTGTTTGTTGGAGTGAATGTTTGTTAGCAAAATATCTCATGAACCGTTGAATGGATTTTAATTAAACCTTCAGAAAGTAATCATTGGATGTCTATCTACAGCCAATTTAAGATGGCCACCAGAGCTGATTTAGATTAGCCTACACAAAAATAACTACAACTCAGTTTTACAGATATTGAGCTAAATTTCCATGTGGTAGTTGCTGAGAGTCATTTGCAACACATTAAAAGGTGCATGACATTGTTTTTAAGATTTGACTGAACCGTCTTCCTCCAAAGACTTTCTTACCTTTAATTTTTGTTAAATGTGAAAATGGGACATTTCTTGCACCTTCTTTTAGTCATGAGTTAAGGTTGTTCATCTTTCAGCTAAAGCTAAACTCTGCTACACAAGCTGAGTGTGCATATATTCAAGTCTGTCACATTCCTGACAACCCAACAGATGGCAGCAGAAATCTGGGAGGGGGGTGTTTGGGGGTGTATGGTTGCAGATATTGTGCAGGTTGCAGAGAAAAAAAGAGACCATTATTTTCCACTTCTTCTAGTCCGGGGGCCTCTGCACGGCGCCAGCAGCTTGAAATCAGTCACTTAACTCTTTCAGAGAAAGTTGAGGAGACTCCCCCAAACACAAAGTCTGCACTTCATGTTTTATTATAATTTATGGATGTCTTTCATCTTTTTGTCCATTACCAAAATAGCTCATAAACCTCATAAAACATTTATTTTTAAACGTGCAAAAATCAATCATTGGATGTACATCTACAATACAATTTTCAGAGGCTATGTGACTCAAGGTGGCTGCCTTTACTCAACCAAAGAAGTTACTGTATTTTTCAGCCTATAAATCGTGTTTTTTAATTTATTATTATTATTTTTTTTTTGGTGGGGGGGTTGCATAATTTGCATACCCTGTGACTTATACACCGAAGTGACGTATTTATGGATTTTTTCCCATATTTATAAACCATTTTTTGGCTGAGAAATGACCGTTTTCATTCATTCTGACTGAAAATATTGAACGCTACCATTTTCCGCCGCTAAATGGCACTTGAGTGTATGGCATGCTGTTGTGTCATTTAATAGGTAAAAGTGGCTATTAATGACACAATTGGCTTGCCATAGACTGCCGCTTTCATCCAGCTCGTCAGGAGCAACCATCAAATCAGCTTCATTTCGCTGCGTCGCCTCGGCGAAATGAAGCTGATTTGAACATTGAAGCGCATTTATGAAGGAAAAGTTCAACTGAGACACACCTTTCCAATAAAGGTAAGCAAGCAAATAAATGTTTTAGGTGGTTATCTTGTTAAATTTTAAAGAAATGCTCAGCGAGTTTTCCCATGCACGCACCTCTTTCCACGTATTGGCTTTTGAAATACAGCTGATTTGACTGTCAAAGTGCATTTATTAAGGAAAAGTTAGACTGAGACACACATTTACTATAATTTCAAGCAAACAAATAATTGTTTTAAGTGTTAATCTTGTGGGCAGCACGGTGGCGCAACTGGTAGAGCTGCTGCCTTTCAGCGAGCAGGTCCCTGGTTCAAACCCCGGTCCAGGGCCCTTTCTGGGTGGAGTTTGCATGTTCTCTCTGTGCATGCGTGGGTTTTCTCCGGGTGCTCCAGTTTCCTCCCACAGACCAAAAACATGCATGTTAGGCTGATTGGTAACTCTAAATTGTCCCTAGGTGTGAGTGAGAGAGTGAATGGTTGTTTGTCTCGTTTGTCTTTTTGTGTCCCTGTGATGGACTTGTGACCCGTCCAGGGTGTACCCCACCCCTCGCACAGTGATTGCTGGACATGGGCACCAGCGACCCCCGTGACCCAAAATGGAATAAGCGGGTAAAGATAATGGATGTTAATCTTGTTAAATTCTTGTTAAAGTCCTCCTGTGCACGCTCCCACAGCCGCCATTTGGCAGTCAATCAATTTTTTGCACAACACCAACCCACATTTCCTCGTTGTCAGTGGTGACGCGTAACAAATGCAATGCTTCAGTGGTAGCACACAATAGATGCGACATTTATGGTGAAGCGACAAATTTATGGATTTTTCTGGTAGCACACAAT